CCTGAGCTGACCATTAGTACCCTCATCCATGCTAGAATTGAGAAAAACACTGGGAGCTAGTACGGTTGACTGTCTCCATAGATATGCCAACTATTCCTCCCACCCACATTTGTGCATTCCATTTACCCCATCCAGATATGAAATCATGGAATCTAATTATGTCCACTCGCCTTGGATTTGAACTGGCCTTGTGATTTGCATCAGCTACTAGAATATGGCAGCAGCAATGTTGTGGCAACTCCAGGCTTAGCCACTCAGAGGCCTAACGGCTTCTGCTGTGGCTCACTTGGAGCCCTGAGCCACCAAATAAGAAATTCAACAACCCTGCTGAAGAGAGGCTCAGCCGGCCCCCAGATCTTCAGCCACCACAGCTGAAGACCCAGATATGTGAGTGAAGCCGCCTTGATATCATTCTAGCCCCAGCTGACCTCTCTGTCAACTAAAGCTAAATGAGTGACTCTAGCTGATATCACATGGAGCAGATGAATCACTTAGCTGAGCACTTTCTAAATTCCAGAATTATGAGCAAATAAATGTTCTGTATTGTTGCAAGCATTAAGTTTGAGGGTGTTTTGTTAAATAGCAGTACATGACAGTTAGCTGGCCAAGAGATTTCTGATAGATTTTGTCTTATAGACTCTTCCCTGACCCTCTTCCTTCTCCGGATAGGCTCTTCTGCTTTGGTGTCCCCTAATTTTACCCCAAATCTTGATGGAAAAAAAAGCAAAACCAAAACACCTGGGACTTCCTCACTGGTAGACCCTGCACGGTCTTCCCTTCCTTCCAAGCAGATGATGTGGTTGCGGGGATCTGGCCTGAGTCTCTGAATGTTCTCACCTTGCAGGAGTGGTCAGAAATGTGGATCAGGGTATCATACATTTCAAATTCCATGTTATGCTGGCATTTGGTTTACAATTCCCATTACAGAAGAAGACATGGACAGGTGGCCACAATTAATTTCTAAAGAATTCAGTACTCCAGGGAGAAGGGGTTAGTGATAAGCATCAGAAGTGAAAAATTAGACAATTGTTGGGTAACCAGGGTAAGCAGAAGGAATTTCTAAGAATTTCTAAGTGCTACTGTGAAAATAGCAACAGACAACCTCAAAGACTTGCAAAATGGTCAGACCACTTCTGTGGCTAATCAGGATGGCTTGGAGTCAGTCAGTAATTGAGCCATTTCAGTCAATTCTAAAATAAATTGGTCTGCAAAAAAAGTAGAATAACCATCTATAAACACAAAGGGTTTATCCCAGTATCCAATATCATGGTAAATTTATTCCATAAAATGCAGTTGCTGGATGTTTAACCATTAAGTAGTAAGACACATCATTTCTGTTGTATTGAAAAACACTATACAGATGATATGTCATTTAAAATACACAAATGTAGTCCTGACAGACCAAATAGATGTTTCTTAATACAAGCATCCTTTGAAACCCTGGCACGGTAAAGCAATCGCTACAGAATGTTTATTGTATTAGTTGAACAACTCCGTTAAATCCAATAATGTTGTCACCTAAGAAAACACCAAAGCTGAGTTTTTAACCTTACAGAAATATTGATGGCATAAAGTGGAGGCTGATGAAATAAAGATTTCTTATTACTTTTACTACCTTGGAATAACCTTCTACCTGTGAACTGTAAGAAAATGCTTTGCCAGTGCCACCACCTGCCCTCCAGGGCAGCTCTACCCTCAGTTGACAGGTGTTCGTAGAAATTTTATAGGAGTTTTCAGTGAGGCATCAGTTGTCTTTAATACTTGAAAGAAAATTGAATGGAAGGATTCAATTACTCATGTGAAAAATGAGTCTTCTACCCAAGGTTTGGCCACTGCTGGTATGCTTGTTTTAAAACTGAATTATAGGCGCAATACATTTGCCAGAGACACAGGCATTAATTTTTCTCAAACCATTCAAGATTGGGAGGACAGAATAGGAGGGAGCAGAGAGAAAATAAGATAATAAGAGCTTCACGTTGATTTATTCACCTTTGTGCAAAGTAATGGGGACAAGAGGGAGGCGGCCCCCGGAGCCTGGAAGAGAGATGGAGGAGCTGAGAAAGGAAGGATTGCAGGGCAGCCTGCCAAATAGAAAGTCAGATTGTTGTTCTTAGATGATATAAGATTGCTTTATTTCTCTAGCTGCTTTATAAAAATACATATGCATAAAATATGCCACATGATGCAGCTGGAGTGAACGAAGGCCACTCTATTTATCCAGGAAAGGATTGTATTCCTAACTTGCCTGTCTGTTAGCTCATTCTTTTAATAAAGATAAACTGATCCTCTACCTAGCAGAGCTCAGGCTATGATTCCAATGTGTTTGATGCTAGGAGTGCATGAGAGATTGGCTCATAACCTGCCCTGGGCAGATGGATAGATGGATGCTCTGAAGCACAAAGTTGACACCATACAGAAGTCTGTGTATGTGAGCTATCATAGTTGCGGAGGAGGTTCTGTCCTTCGCAGACCTGATGTCAGGTCACTTAGCACAGTTGGGAGAAGTATTGGACAAGGAATCTGTGCATTCCTCCCTCAGCTACTAACTAGCTCCATGCAGGACTAGGCTCATAATTTTCAGGACCCAGTGCAGTAAGAAAATGTAGGGATACTTGTTAAAAAGAAAAATGAGAATTTTAAGACAGCAGTGTCAGAGCATTAAACCAAAGGCAGAACCCTTCTAAATATGGTGATCTTTTGAGTGCAAGACTCTGTGGGACTGCATGGGTTACATGTCCAGAAAGCCCAACCTGGCTCCATGATTTTGTGACATGAAGCTTCTCATTTGGGACCGTCAGTTTCCTTGTATTAAGAGAAGCCAATTGGAAGCGATCAGCAGCTTTCACCCTAGGGGTGTTAAACGTGCCCATGGTCAGTTAGCAATATTATTGGTGAAGTTGGATCTTCTCCGTATTATGGAATTTGAATCTTAATTCCAAGAAAATCTTTTTTTTTTTGGAACCACGTGACAGTGCAGAGGGAAATACCTACTCTCTTGGGTACCCAGGAGATGGGGAGCAGAAAGTCTGTGTCCATTGTCTCATGGAGTAAAAGAAAACTTATATTAACAAAGAGTATATTTTCTCATGTCTATAAAAGAAAATCAAGTCCATTCCATAAATTAGCCCTTGCCTTTCTTCTAAAACAACTTAAATCTTTTTTTTTTTTTTTTTTGGTCTCCAAACAGAAAATTTAAAAAATAGCATAAGCTCATTTATCTTGGAACTGACATTGCAGGCAAAGTTGACAGGTTTATCTGTTTGAAAAGAGACCTTGAAACCTAAATGCCTTCTTTAATGCTTGGGCTCTGAAGTTGAACTTCTGGGAGATGACAAATGAGAATGGGATGAAGCATAACTTTTCTTATTTTAACCATAAAAGTATCACTAAACCCAAGCATATTACTTGACTTACAAGTTCTGAGAAATAGAACTCTATGTCCAGCAGCTGCAAAATTAGTAACTGGTTTTCTAGGTCATTTTGGGAAGGTTCTGGAGTCACCAGAACCTTGCTGATATTTCAGTTTCTCATCTTAATGGAAGAATCTAGTATAATTCTGTGGATTTGCTATTTTTTCCCTGTTCACACCCCAGAGGGTAGCCATTGGGTCAGTAAAACTCTAGAAACAATTCTTCAGCATTGGAAAAGCCATTTGATACCAACTTGCCATTTTGCACTGAACAGGTGTGTTTCTGACTTATAAGTATTTTTAATTTTTTAAACAAGATTTTTCTTTTTTTTAAGAGGGAGAAAGCTGATTTGAAAGAACAGACAACCCAATATATTTGGCCTATTTTCATGGGTTTTCGATTTCTTTTTTTTTTAAATACATCTATTTAACAAATGCAGTCGATCCTCACTATTCACGGATTTGTGTCTGCAAATTTGCCTACTTGCTAAATTTATTTGTAACTCCAGAATCAAGACTTGCAGCACTTTCAGAGTCATTTGTGGGCATGCCCAGAGCTGCCAAAAATTTGAGTTGCTTGAGGTTTGCAGCTAAGGTTGAATGAAACAACACTCTGCCTTCTTGTTTTAGCTCTCATACTGTAACCTGGCTTTCTTGCATGTATTTGGTGACTTGGTTTTTGCACTTTCATGCTTTTTGTCGATTTCACTGTTTAAAATGGCCCCCAAGTGTAGTGCCAAATTGCTGTCTAGTGTTCCTAAGCACAAGAAGGCTGTGATGTGCCTTGCAGGGAAAATACGTATGTTAACAAGCTCCCTTCAGGCACAAGGTATTGCACTATTGGCCATGAGTTTAGTGTTAATGCATCAACTATATGTTAAATAATGTGTCTTTAAACAGAAACACATAAAACAAGATTATGATTTGAGCATTTGACAAAATGTGACCAGAAACTCACAGGAACCTAGCCCCATGTTTCCCCTAGGAGCATTGGTTCAGTATTCACTAATTAATGTTTCATTTTATTTATTTATTTTTGAGACAGAGTTTCACTGTTGTTGCCCAGGCTGGTGTGTAATGGTACAATCTCGGCTCACCACAACCTCCACCTCCCAGGTTCAAGTGATTCTCCTGCCTCAACCTCCCGAGTAGCTGGGATTACAGGCATGCGCCACCACGCCTGACTAATTTTTGTATTTTTAGTAGAGATGTGGTTTCTCCACGTTAGTTAGGCTGGTCACGAACTCCCGACCTCAGGTGATCTGCCTGCCTTGGCCTCCCAAAGTGCTGGGATTACAGGCGTGAGCCACTGCGCCCAGCCATTATTTATTTTTTTGAGACAGGGTGTCACTTTGTTGCTCCGGCTGGATGGCAGTGGCACCATCACGGCTCACTGCAGCCTTGATCTCCCTGGGCTCCAGCAATCCTCCCACCTCATTCGCCCAGGTTGCTGGAACTACAGGTGCATGCCACCATACCCGGATAATTTTTTTTTTTTTTGTAGTTTGTAGAGATGAGGTTTCGCCATGTTACCCAGGCTGGTCTCAAACTCCTGGGCTCAAGCAGTCCACCTCCCTCTACCTCCCAAAGTGCTGGAATTACTGGTGTAAGCCACCGCACCTGGCCTGCAGCAACTTTATAGAACATAATTACTTAGAATAACAAGAACTGACTGTATGTGTTGAGAGTCAGCTCTGTTCAAATGCCCTGAAGGAGGCAAAGTGCAATAAAAGGTTTCCTATCTTCAAGGAGTGTGTTTAACAGCAATCTTTTCCATTTTTGAGTACTTATTCCAAGCATCTTAAATATTGTATCTGCTTTAATTTTCTCAGTAACACTGTAAGTTAGACATTAACCCCATTTATAGAAACAAAGAAACAAAGACTTAAGTTATCACAGCTACTACTAAGTAGGACAAGAAGGATTTGGACTCTCCATATCATGCATTCATCTTCCCACATTATTCTACCTACCTAGTCAAGGGGAAGAAAAGTTGCAGGTTATGGTTTCATAACAAGATTCTAATGCTTGTGATTGCTTTGGGATCTATGGAATTGAGACAAAAGAAAGCACCCAAATGGGTATTTCTGGCTAGTTTTCTCAAAAACACTAAATTCATCCTAATTTCTTTCTCCCTCTTTCTCTGAGACATCTGTGAAAATGCTCTCAGAGAAACTCTTCAGGGATTTACAGTCCTTCCTATGTTAAGTTCTTTCTCTTCTTATTTGTTACACTAAATATAAGGCAGGAATTTTAAACAAGCAAGAAAAGAACTTTATACTCTGGACTATGATCTTTGACGACAATAAGTATCACTGAACATTTTGTTCTTTTTTTCATTTTGGGTTATTACTCTCCTATTTCTTCAAATTATAGACCCTATCTAAAGCTTTAGGAAGTCGTTTCCATGAAAGTAACATCTTTCTATCTTGATGCAATCAGATTTCTCCTGCTTTTTGTTATTTTGATTTAAATTCTTTGCAACGAATGTAACCAATCTCAAATGACAGATACAGAGTTGCCTTAAAAATTAATAACTTCAGATTATAACAATTCTTTGTATATTTTCATTATTATTTTTCTTATCTCCCCTTTAAAGATCTGGGAACTCATTGAAAACGAGTCTCTGTTCTAGATTTTCTCCTTCCGAACAAGACTTAGGAAGATGACATTTCCTTTTTCTGTTTCTTCAGGGTTTCTGTAAGGCTAAAGTGAGATAAACTACAAAAGTCACCTTAAGCAGTGTGTGGATTATAGCAGATATGTATTAAATATTAGTTTCTTTCCTGTTTCCCTTATTAAGCAGTTTAATTTCTACTTAGCAGTGGATGCCATTTACAAGGTTGGTATGCAAATGAGAAAGCTTAACTTGACTATATATACTAACCTTATACATGTAGGTATTTTACACTTTACACAGTTCCCCCCTCCTCCGCAATCTTGACATGTTCTATTCAATTTAATTCTTACAGCAACACTATAAAAACGATGGAGCAGGTGCTGTTGTCCTTTTTTGATAAGATGATGGGACTGAGGTCTAGAGTGGATGAGATTATTCAGGGTGAGATCCAGATGTCACTGAAAAGAACCTATTATATTTCCTCCATTTTCATCATAAGTCAAAGCATATAAATATATATTTATATATTTATATATATATATTTGTGTGTGTGTAACCATAACCATATTGTTTACTAGTTGCAAATATGTCTTGGAAATATTCAACAAAGATGATAAAAACCTCCAGAACCTAAATCCTGCATGCTGCTCTCTGATGCTTCTATCTCCTGCTGCCCAGATGTCTCTAATTTCAGACTTTTGTCTGATAGGACTATGGAAAATAATTGTCTTTCCCCATCTTCAGTATTCCATCAGCAGATATTTAAGAGCGACTCTCTCGTAAACTCTTAATACCCAGACGTCTTGCTTGTGTTGATCTCTACTTTATACTTTATTCCCCTTTCATCCTGACCCTCCTCGGGCCCTGGACTCTCTTGGAAAACTGATTTCTTCATGATATTGCCTCCATCTCCTTGTTGCTAGGTGTTCGGCTAGCTCCTGAAGCGCTAGGCTTTGTTTGTCAATTTCTGCAACTCAGGCTTCTTTGAAATTTGCTTCGACCTCCCGACGGCCTTAGGACCCTGTTTCCTCATTTGAACTCAGCATTCTCCTGGTCAGCCCCTGGTCTTCCTGGCACCATTCCTAACTAGGACTGCTCTACCTATGCCCCGCTGTGTTACCTGATGACAGTCAGATCTTTTGCAAATGCAATGGTAAAGGAACACAAGTGCAGTCAGCACTTGGGAGGGCATGAGATGTGTAGAAGATCCTGTGTTCAGCAGCCCGTCTTCATCTGAAACAGAATTGCCAGAGAAGTCACCGGTGAACTAAGTCCGTGGCTTCTCCCCTTAAAGTATGCTGTTTCAACTCATCTGGCTGATTGTGCTTGCAAAGAGCCTTGATTTTGAGCTCTAATTACCAGCCGCTAATTCAAGCCTGGCCTCTGATCATTCATCTTTTAAGTGTTCAGCTTCTGAATCCCATTTGGTTCCCTGTCCCCTCTCTCTTTCCTACCACCTCCCCTTGATGTGGCCAGAATAGTTAACTCAGACAATTAGTAAATGCTGAATCATTGAGTCAGTGAATGAGGCAAGTGTCTGTGTGAGGTATACAACTTCCTGAGTGGGTTTAATGGAAGCCTAAAGAGATTTTTCACAGATTCATGGGTTTTCAAAGGAGAAATTTGCATATTAATAAGAAGCTGTTCAGACTGATTCGCTTAATGTGTTTGGAGTAAGTATAATTAAATGTCAAGGGAGATATATCATGAAGTAATGAAGCTGAAGCCAATTTATCAAAAATAAGGTCTGGAGAGAGACATTTCAAATAATAAACAGTTCTCTAACCTTCCTTTTTAAGGTGATTTGCTTAGTCTGGGCCAAGATTTACATGTTTTTTGAGACTTGGTTCAAACAAAGATGCTGGGAACTGGGTGGGGGTGGGGAAGGAGAATGCACATTTTTTCCCATTCAAGTTTATAACATTCAAGGAGGTCTTTCCTGTCTGAAACACTTTTAAAGGGGACAAAACCTATTTCATTTTCCTCACTCAGATGTTGGGATGTGAGATAGGATGAGCACCCCACCCAAACCCCACAATTACAGCTGCCATTTGAAAACTCCTGTTCTGATGAAAGGGAAGGTGATATGCAACGGGAGCTGGTTCATTGGGAACTGCAACTGTGAGAAAAATGGATGAAAATATAACCCCGAGTTCTTGATTTTGAAGAGTGAGCTATTTACTAATGAACATGTTTTAAGAGTTGGTCAGTCTTTGAGCAAAATCAATCCATGCTTTGCTTTGAATTCACTTAGGAGAGATATCATGATAAAATTGCACACCCGTCTTTTTATGCTTTTCCTTAAATGTTAGATTAAATTAAGAAGTTTAGGCTCATGTAATACATGGATTCTTTTGAGTTCAAATGACACTGAAGTGACCTCAGGAATAGTTGCCTGACCCAATCAAATGGAAACACTCAATAGCATCTGATTCTGTTTACCAGAATGTGAAAGTCACTGGGTTCATTTCTAGCCAGAGAAGAGGGATCAGTGGCCCTCACTGGCCCACCTCAAAGAGGTCTCGGGGGAAGAGAGGAAGGGCTTGAGTCAATACTGTAAAACCACTGGGTGGAAGAAAGAAAATGCCTACCTCGTATTCATTTGTCACACTGAAAAAATGAAAAGCCACATACAGAAAACTGAGAGATTGAGTTGCTTATACTTGTATTGACTGCAAGTTGTGCTGACTGTGGTCATGGGGAGGATAAAGCAGAGACAGGCCATAATTCAGTACTATCAGCTTTTGGGGTGGTAGGCTCCCCCAAGTCTTACAAAGGGAGCTAACTTTGAGAAGCATCCATCTATTTTGTTTCATAACCAAACAGATTGTTAGATTGTCTATATATGATTTTTAAAAGTTAGTGTTACCCACTGCCTTTGTAACAGGACTGCTTTTGAAATCTGCCTGTCTTGGGTTCAAGTCTTCCACACCTCCTTATCATCTGGCTAACTTGGTACAAGTTACTGAAGCTCTCTACACTTTAGTTTAGTCATTTGGAGAGTGGGAACAGTAATGTCCACCTTGCTTTGCATTTGTCAGGATTAGAGAGGATGCATGTGGACCACCTTGTTGATATTACTGTTGTGATTGTCATTTGACCCATAACTTCTTGTCGCCATCTTTTCTGGATATCATTTGTAGACATCGTTTATACCTCAAATGATTAGTGATAATGAGCCTTGCAATTTCCTCTTAACTTCATTAAAGTTAAAAATAAGAACTGTATTTTAGGTGGGATTGCCTATGTCTGAGCAGGAGTGTCCTTTAGGAAGTTTGTGTTGCATCTATTCAAAGGAATGAAAAGGGGGCATTTCTTCTTCTGAGATCAAGCCCCTGGTCTTTCTCCTTTTCCTAATGGTAGATATATGCCCACCCCAACCCGTGTGTGTGTGTGTGTGTGTGTGTGTGTAGTTAGATAAATAGATTGAGTGATTACTGTTGTGATTTCAAATGTAGCACTAGAACTCTTTTTTTTATTCTTAAATATCTGTTACAAATTCTTAATACATAATACAATCCACGATGATTGAATTGGGGAGAGGAGCTCTAGAACCCACCTGCTTAGCCACCCTCTCATTTCATGGAGTGACCCTAAAACATTTACAAGGAGACTTTGGGGTTGTGTTCAGCAAGTTTTGATATGAAATGCTTTTGAATTCCTCAAAGTCAACCCACAAAATGTTTTCCCTGTAGTGTTATTTCCATATCTTTCACAGGAGTTATGAAGGTAGGAGGATTTTGTGATCAAATATGAATGGGAAATGAATTCAACAAACATAAATGGATTTTCTACAGTAGACTTTTAAAGTCCGTGGACCTTCTAAAATTCACTGTGAAAAGTCAGATGGGATTTGTCACATACAGTGTTTCTCATATTATGATGACAGTGGAAAGCATTTTAATGAAAAATCCATAGGACTCTGTGTTTCTTGGAATGCAGCTTGGGAAATTTTTTTTTAATTAAAGCAAATTATGATTTCTAAAATAACTTCTTTAGGATGGATGGTCTTCCTTGTTAGGATTTGATAATGGGCTTAAGGTAGTTATTTTAGAACCACGTAAACATGTCTTTTTCTTCTCTTGAATAAGTAGTCAGCAATAGGAATATTAACTGCCATTTTCTTTCCTCAAAATGTGGGCCTAGAGAATGAATTTTACATGATGGATTGGTGTTATGATATGATTGATTTGACTGTACCATGGGTCAAGCAATTCATTCTCTCCCTAACAAAGAGCAGGTGCTATTTTTCCAAGGAAACCACCTACATAGAAGTAAAATATCTGTTTCAGGGCTGTCAAAAACACTATGCTATGGAATTCTACATATTTTATTGCTTTGTGCAGCTCATTCTTCTCCCAGGACTACCATTTCCCTTTATCAGAGTCTACAAACCAATAGGAGTGTATACATAGAGCGTTTGTTACAGCTGTTTATCTTGGATCCCATATTTCCCAGCTTTATCTCCCTGCTTCACCCCCTGTCCCCACCACTGCACATGTCCACATCGTTCCATACATTACCCATGCTCCCACATCCTGCTCTTTATATCATGCCTTTGTGCATGTGTCCATCGTGTGTGTGTGTAGTTAGATAAATAGATTGATTGATTACTGTTGTGATTTCAAATGTAGCACTAGAACTCTTTTTTTTATTCTTAAATATCTGTTACAAATTCTTAATACATAATACAATCCACGAT